GTATATTAGCAAATTAACCTGACACACCTAATGTTTTAATGTGATATTAAAACATTTATTACAACCAAAAATCACAGCTTTAAGCCTGTGATCCTCTCCTCTCCTCTCTCTCTCTCTCTCTCTCTCTCTCTCTCTCTTTCTCTCTTATATCTAACATCATTCTCAAGTTATCTATTCCTTCCAATAGCTTATATTCATTCAATCCTTGCAGCTTACACAGTGCTCTCACATCCATTATCCTATTAGGTATTTTTAACAATTCAGTGGTGAGGTGAGGTCAGTATTACTAGCTCCATTTGAGAGACAAGGATATGGAACAAAGCCAGTTCTCGGTTAGGGATCAGAGCTGGGACTCTAACTAGGTCTTCTTGCTCTTCCTACAGGACTCCTCCCATCATGCTATGAATGACCCTAGAACAGTGGTTCTCAACCTTCTGGCCCTTTAAATACAGTTCCTCATGTTGTGACCCAACCATAAAATTATTTTCGTTGCTACTTCATAACTGTAATGTTGCTACTGTTATGAATCGTAATGTAAATATCTGATATGCAGGATGGTCTTAGGCGACCCCTGTGAAAGGGTCGTTCGACCTCCAAAGGGGTCGCGACCCACAGGTTGAGAACCACTGCCCTAGAACAACCAGCACAGGGCTGGGCACATTATGGTCCTGGTTAACACCTGAGGAATGACAGAGGGATCAAATCTTTTGACCAGAGGTGTAAGGGTAAAGTCAAAGCTCCCAGAAAATGTTTCACTAGAGATTATCTGTACATAGCTTCTGTTAATGCTTCCCAAATGTGTGTTAATAGGAGTTGGGGGGGAGGGGTTAGATCAGTGATGGCGAACCTATGACGCGTGTCAGAGGTGACACGTGAACTCATTTTTTTTGGTTGATTTTTCTTTGTTAAATGGCATTTAAATATATCAAATAAATATCAAAAATATAAATCTTTATTTTACTATGGTTGTAAATATCAAAAAATTTCTGTATGTGACACAGCACCAGAGTTAAGTTAGGGTTTTTCAAAATGCTGACACGCAAAGCTCAAAAGGTTCGTCATCACTGGGTTAGATGGATGGAGATGGTGAAGATTACTTGTTATTTGATATGTTTTAAAAAATTCTGGTTTAGCAAATTATGTCTTTTTTGCAGTGCCTTTAAGTAAGTCTGAAGGGCTTGATGACTGTCTAGGTGAGGGATAGAGTATAACGCATTCCTTTAACTTATTTGACCATGGGAACTTTTCATTAGGAACAATCTTGCTGGATTGGGTTCCATGGAATCCACTTTGGGAAACATCAGTCTTGGGCATTGAACTACCAGGTTCTGCTTTTTGGCATTTTCCTTTTGTACTGTCCAGAGTTGTCTGTGCAGCAGGTACCTTTGGGCCCTTTAGCTCTTACTAGTAACTCAGTTCTAATTCCAAGAAGCTTTTAACTTAATGGGATGATAACTTGGTTTATTAATTAAGGTTCCTTCATTGCAAACACAAAAAGCAACTCTGGCGAACTTCCTTAAAGATATTAGGAAAACACAGAATCCTAAGAGTTGCCAAACAACTAGGATTTAAAGAGAAAAGTTTTGGGGATCTCAGTCCTGGGAGTCCCTGGAGCTGCCACTCAAATAACTCTGCTGCACAGATGTCTCTGTCTGTACCTCTCTGCTCAGGTCCCAGGTTCCTGGAAGGGAGAACCTGATCATTGTGATTTGGGCCTGATGTCTCTGCCCAGAATCATTCAGCCATGGGAGATAGGACAGAAGACACCACAGAGGAAACTGCTGTGATATGGGCAGCTGCCCTGATTGTGTCTCCCACATCTGGTATGCAGTAGAGTCGCATCTTTTGTGGGGGTTGGTTTGATGTTGGTGCACATAGCTTATACTATCCTTGGAAAGTGCATTATACTTCTCTCTAGGTGATTCTTCTTTTTGATCACTAAAGAAAGATGCTCAAGATCATACTATTAAAAAATTCTAATTTTCAGCATTAAAACTTACACTTGGCCTGAAGAAACACTTTTGCAGTTAGAGTAGCCCCTGGAACCAATTAACAATGGCTCAGGGTAAGTGGAATGGTGGGTAGACTGGCCCACACCTTCTGAATCCTCTCTACCTCCCTCCTCTTTTGCCAAATACAGGCAGTTGAATTCATAGAGTTCAATGTGCACATGATGCAACTCCACTGTGCACAGAGATGGATGAATACAGTAGCCCTAAACAAACCTTAGAATATCCTTGCTCGATACTTACAAAATGGATAAGGCCATCAAGGATGGTGTCCTAGAGAAAGAGGAGAGCTTTGGGGGTGCCTTTTTTGTATTGATTTAAAAAAAATTGAAACTACTTTTTAAACAAGTCAAACAGGTTTTCTTCTGCCTGCTGAAATTTCAAGTTCATAAGCAAATTAGGCATTAAAAGAAATAAACCTCCGACGGCACCACCACCTACCACTATGTTACACTCTGGGGCTTCATTTGAATATATTTTGCTTTTATTGTTTCGTTCTCTTTCCTCACTGTGATTTACAAAGCAGTGTGGGAAAATGGTTAATACAAAATAAAAGTTAAAATTAAAACCACTTTTTCCACTATGGTGCTGTCTCTCCCACCCCCTTATCCCTGGGGGCCTATTCAACTCAGTTTAGTAGCACAAAGGCTACTGAGTCCTAGAACTGTACTCATAGCCTCCCTAAAACGGATTGATTTCCTAGCTCTAGGACAAGATAAAGGATTAATTAACTATGGTGGATAACATGGAAGGAATTGATAAATAATGGAACAAGCTCATTTTAAGATGCCTTAGAACTCTGTAAATTTATTAAACTATTCAGGTTTGTTCAAGTAACTTTTTGTTTGGAGGTGAACCCGCTTATGGGCTCAAATAGTTCCCAAGGAAAGAAAACTACTGTTCACAGCCCTGTGACATCAAACTTGTTAGATTGACAGGGACAACTTCTCTTGTTTCTCTCTGTCCATCTGAGGGATGACACCTAAATTACTTCATCTTGAGGAGATGGACCTTGTCAGAGTCCCTAAGGGATGTCCCTCAACCCCAATCAGGGACCCAGCCTAGGCTCTTACAGTCACCTGAGTCTTTGTTGAGCACTTACTACCAGTATGTGCCTGGGTCAGTGTTGGCCACTTTTGCCCCCATTTTTGGGTTTAACCCAAACATCATTTTATAGAAAATGTTAACGTTTTATTTTACATATGAAGATATTGAGCTCATAATGATTAGGAATCTTTCCTTGGTCAGACAATTCTACTGCCAATAATAATAATAATAACCCAATGGATAGCAAAGAAGGTTCACTCAGAATATGGGGTAAATGTGGAAGACTGAACCGGTACCCGCAAGATACATATATTAAATGCAGTAACAACAGCATGTCTGAGGCATGGTGCTAGGTGTCTTAAAGTACTGTGTTTACTTGAATAGTCGATAGTAAAATGGACTCTATTTTAGAGGTGGGAAAATGGAATCCTAAGGGAAGTTAAGAAAATTGCCAGTAAGTGAGCATTGCCTGGTCACTCCTGCAGGCACAGCTTGTGTAATAAAGCAGGTATTGATGCGGAGGATGTGGAGTAAGTCAGAATAGCTTCCAGTTGCAAGTAATCACAATGAAGGCTCCAAGTGGGGCAAAGAGCCTTCCACTTAAGCAAGTATATGGTCTGTGACACCACGCAGCCCAAGTGTTTGGGGATGTGAGTAGAAAGTTATCTCTGAGTCACAACTCTAGAAGTCAAGGAGGAGAGGCTGCCTGGTTGGTATCAGGTGAATGAGGTATACCTGCTTCTCTGCCCTGTAGGCACGGGGCACTCAGCTAGGGCTTTCTAGTGCCAGCCACAATGCAGTGTTTTCATGGGAAAGTCGGGCTCCAAGGGGTGTTTGAGGATGAATCAGTCCCCATTACACCTGACCTTTTCCTCCATCACTACCTTCCGGCAAAGTGAATGATTCTATTTTTAAGTCAAACAGTACATTAGGTATCTCTGTGAAACACAAGCCGTGTTGAATTTTTAAAGGGATCAAAGCCTTATACTAAAGGAGTGAACGTCAATGAGTCAGTTAGCAGAGTGGCAGGCATTGGGAAAAGGGACAGTGGGATTCGGATAACAATGTCTCTCCAAGGTGCTGGAAAATACTAAACAGACAGACAAAATGACAGGATATCTAGGATTTGCTTCCCAATAATCTTGGGGATGGGGTGGGAATGGCTGATAGATGCGAATAGTTGGGAGTAGAGATAACATTAGGTAGGCCATAGATTGATAATTGATGCACTTCTGTACTGAGTGTGTTGGGAGTTCATTATAGTCTTCCAGTCTAATGTATGTTTGAAATTTTCTATAATAAATTAAAAAAATAAAATAGTGTGGATATGGTCCAGTCTTCTATTCCAAAGGAATCATCCCACTGGAAATATAAATGTGACCAGGGGGATGGCCTGGATTTTTTGCACAAAGCTGTGGGTACCTCTTAGAAAACAATTTCCAATTCCTGACCCTTTAAACTCCAAAATTTATCTCAAACCTGTCCACTTCTCTCCAATGCCACTACCACTACCCTTGTCCTAGCCACCCCAGCACCCTTGTTTAGACAACTGAAGTGGCCTCCCTGCTTCCAGCAGGAATGTCTATTTCCAGTCTTTTAAAAATTCTGATAGGAAACGCTCATGAGAAAAAAGCGAGATGCAGAACAGTATATATAACTTTTGTGTAAGAAAGGGGAAACCACATACATACACACACCCACATATGTACAGACTATTTGCTTATATTTGCAGACGAAAACTCTGGGAAGATAAACCAAAAACTAATAAAAGAAATAAGGGGAGGAAGTACACAGTGGAGAACAAGGGTTGTGGCAAAACTTCTCTGAATATGTCCTCTTATAAATCTTGACTTTGGAATAAAATAATAACATTGTGTAAAAGTAAAATAAAATAAGAGAGTTCTAAAAATTGAAACCAAGTTGAAATGTAAAAAAGCACCACTGGTGTTCACTATGGCATATACTAGTACTAAAATTGGAGTGATACCGAGAAGAGGTAAGCATGGGCCCTGTACAAGAAGGACACTCAAATTCATGAAGCGTTTCATATTTTTTTTATAGAATTGTACACCTGAAACTTATATGATGTTATTAACCAATGTTACTCCAATAAATTTAATTTAAAAAACTGTTCCTCAAATTGGTAACATTAACTACACCAAGAAATAATTATTTTAGTAACTTTCATAAAAAGTATTTTGACTTTACATTCTTGTGAAATATATTTTAAGAACCAAAAAACAGTTGCAAGTAAATATTAGATGTCATTCAGAATCTAATTGTTATATTAAGTTGAACCATATGAAGTTGCCTATATTTGACCATTTTTGACCTATAAAATAATAATTTTTATGTTGTAAATATAATGTTATAATATAAATATAGTAATATTTTTATATCAAAATACCATGTTTATATATAACATAAGTATAATATCATTCATATAAATATATTATAAATATAGTATAATTACAGCAGTACTGGTTTTGTTTTGGAAATAGTGTATATTGTAGGATAAAGCAAATAAGTAATCATATTAATGTTAGAATAGAGAGTTTCAGCAAAATAAAATAATACAACTATTATATTACAAGTTAATAAAAGCTTGATTTTTTAAAAAATTGAGATACAACTGACATCTAATATTGTGTAAGTTTGAGGTGCACAATGTGCTGTTTGATACATTTATATAATGCAATAATATGATTACTAGAGTAGTATTAGCTAGCACCTTTATCATGGCACATAATTATCATTTCTTGTATGGAAAACAATAAAAATATAGTCTCTTAGCAACTTTGAAGTTTGTAATACAGTATTTTTGACTTTAATCATTATGTGGTGATCTCAACTTATTTACTTGTTGCAAGTTTGTACCCTTAAACAACATCTCCCCAATTTTCCCACCCTCGGCCCCTGGTAACCACCATTCTACTCTGTTTTTACAAGTTCAGCTTTTTGGGTTCCACAGATAAGTGATATCATACAGTATTTGTCTTTCTCTGTCTGACTTATCTCACTTAGCATATGACCTCGATTGAATTGCAAATATCAGTATGAACTCATAATTATTTTTCAAAAATACTTATTTCCTGACTGTTCACTAAAATGGCCTAGAAACAATAGCAACCCAGAGACAATGAGTCAGCCTAGGACCCAGACTGTGGCCTCTAAATACCTTCCCACTAAAAGGAAGCAGTGATCCTTTAGAAATTGCAGAAAATAGACAAGTTGAATTAGGGATATGTTATTGTAAAGAAAGCAAAGAAAAAATTAATAGATGAAGCAAATGTGGCAAAATCTAGATAAGTGTGGATTCTGAGTGTTATCTGTAGTAAAGATGTTATGTTCTTTGCTTTGTGTATATTTGAAGTTTTTAAATAAAATATTTAAAAAACTGAATCTGATTATGTCACTGCTTTGATGAAAACCTTTCAGCTGTATACAATGGAATATTACTCAACCACTAAAAAGAATGAAATCTACCATTCTCAACAGCATGACTGAACCTAGAGGTTATTATGCTAAGTGAAATAAGTCTGAGAAAGACAGATACCACATGATTTCACTTATATGTGGAATCTAAAAAACAATATAAACAGAAACAGACTCATATAGACAATAGACTGATGGTTGCCAGAAGGGAAGTTGGGGGACTGGGTGAAAAAGGTGGAGGGACTGAGAAGTGCAGATTGGAAGTTACAAAATAGTTATGGGGATGTAAAGTACAGCATGAGGGGAATATAGTAATTAATATAGCAATTACTATGCATGGTGTCTGTTGGGAACTGGAAATAGCAGGGGAACACTAGTAAAGAATATGATTGTCTAACTGCTATGCTGTACAACTGAAACAAATACAAAATAATATTGAATGTAAACTGTAATTTAAAAAATTTAAAAACAACAACAACAAAAAAAAACTTTTAGCATCCTATTACCCAGAGGGTAAAAAGTCCAAACTCATTCCAAGGTTCTTCAAGTTCAGCATCTGTTCATCATCATCGTCTCTTTTTTCGTTGATAATACTTTTATTGAGCACTTACCATGTGCCAGGAACTAGGTTAAACCTTATACCTGTTTTATTGGTTTAAATATCACAACAACCAGAGTTATCTGTCATTTACTTTTTGCAAATGTGAAAACACGGAGAGGTTGAACAACCAGTCTGAGATTTTATAGCTAGTCAATTGGGAAACTGGGATTTGAACCCAGTCAGGCTGACTCCATCACCCATGCCATTACCCCCTTGATTTTATGGCCACTTGGTATTTCTCTCTCTTGTATGCCCACATATCAATATGGTGCCTAGTGTCTGGTAGGTATTCAGTAATTTTTATTAAATAGATGCTGATAGCTAGGTTTCTACCAGTTTTTTTAATATAGTTTCCTTCTTATCAATTATTTTGTAAATAGTCATTTTCTTGTTGGTATTCTAATGCTATCAGGATGACTCATAAGTACTTGCTGAAAAGGAGCATTACAAACACAGAGGAAAAATGCCAAGTCCACGCCTTAATATGACATTTCTTATGACTGTTTTGGGTTCACCCAATGACTATTGCTCTTAATACACTGTAATATAATTCTTTGTTTACCTCTTGGCTAGTCTATGAGATCTGAGAGGTCACAGACTTTGTCTTATGTATTTATTTCAACCCCCGGTACTTAACATAGAGATTGGCATGTGTTGGGTGTGCTATTAAGTTTATCAAATGGATCAGGGCACAAGAGCTGCTGAAGAACTTCTTTTTACCATTCAAAGCCTAACTCAGGGTTGTGTCTGTAAAAAATTTCCCACTGTCTTCCAAAGTTAATCACTCCCTCCTCCGAACTATTATTGAGTCTTACATACACATTTATAATTTCATTTATGTTGCACCATACTTTTTGCGTGTGTGTCCATTTGTGTCCCCAACCAGACTGTGAGCTTTGCAAAGCTTGGCTGGTGCTCTATCATTTCTGTCTTACTAAATCCATCAACAAAGGGCTCAATACATTTTTGTTCAAATGTAAAACTATCAAAACTTTGCAAATTCTCAAAATGTAAAACTAACTATATTCATATATTATCTTAGCAGATATTATAAATGAAGGAATATGTTACATTCTGGGCCTTGAGAAAAGATTTCTAATCTGACTTCTGATGTGCCTTAGGAAATGCAAAGCCTCCTTCATAGAGTAATACCATCACCAACATCTCAAGTCTTCTGTCACTTTCTATTATGTGCCTTTGAGACACAAGCTAGTCATTGTCACTTTGTATTTATGTGGCCTCCTTTCTGCTAAAGTTGCAGCTTGCCACACGGCCATTAATTTATTTGTTATTTGTGGACATATTCCTGCATGGGAAGTTTGATTACTATAACTGGGGAGACAAAGTTGGAGAAGGAGTAAAGCAAATGAATGGGCTGTTGTGGGAAGACTGGCAGCCTGCATTTCCCTCTGTAACTTCAGACAAGCCATTTCCCTCCTCTGGGACTCAGTTTTCTTATCTGTAAAATTAGATCTCGCCACATGATCCCAGAAGCCTCTCCTGCGTTCCAGAATCTGCTATCTCTGCCTCAAAGAAATAAAAGAGAAGGCAACAATAGACTTCTGCGGGGGGCAGTATCTGTTTGACCAAGAGATCACCCCTCTATGAGAGGAGGAACAAGCAAAAAGCTGTTATCTGGCTGGCCCAGGACCTGATGCTCCAATTTATCTTCCTAACTCAGGTAGGATGGGGAATCTGGAGTGATGATTCACAGCCATTCCAACCCCGTGCAAAATAGAATACGCAATGAGATAAATAAAAATACAGGGCCAGTATGGAAGGAGGACAGAGAGTACAATAGGCAACCTAACTTTGGACCATCCCACTACCATCCCTGCTGCACCTACCTTGTTATCCCAGAATTCAAGGTCAGCAAATCTGTAGCAGACAGATCTCTCACTCCTGACTGTTGTCCATGTCAGACATTGCTAATTGATTACAGCACTATTTTCTTCTAAAGCCAGACTGAGAATATTTCTCAATACAGTGCTGCTCCAAAGGCCAACAACTGATTGAAGTTGGCATGTTAGCTGAAACCTACTTGCCATTCTGGGCTCAAATTTCCTGATTCCATCAGAGAAAAGTACTAAGAAAAAGTTTGTAATTTAAACTAGATAAGGTACAGGGCAAGTTTCCTAATTTGGGTGCCAATTTATAAAAAGAGAATTCCCTGGACCTCTCCATTCAAGCATTCTGTGTTGTTTTTATTGATTCTAGAATCCTTACCCCTTTTGGAAAATAGGGGCATCTCTGTGACCCTGCTATCCCAAAGCTCTAGCTTTCTCATGACATACTAGGATTTAAGCATCTTGATGTGTATCTGGACACAACTGATGCAATGAATGTGAGGTGTCCATGCAACTACAAGAGTTGTTAACCCTCCCCAACTTCCAGACAAGTTCTCTAGGGTCGTAACAGTCAGATTAGGCTGAAGTGAAGCTTGGCTGACAGTGTCAAAGAAAGCCCTCAGGGCTGGCATCTGTTACACAGTCATTGCTAGCAACTTCCTTGGCAAGAAACTACTTTTTCTTGTCTTGTTTCAGGCTTAAATTGCTTTTATTTGTCCTGGAGACTCGATCAATAATCTCAATCTCTCACTTTCCCTCTTTGCCAGTAGATATGGGATAAATAATTTTATTCAGAGAAAGAAAAGGGGGGCAAGTGGCAGGGTAGCAGAGGGTAAAAAAGGAGGTAGTTGAGAATGCTCATAGAAGGAATAGTAGATCATATGTATTGAGCTGTGTGTCAAGCACTGTGTTGTCACACTTAATCTTGACAAACTATCAGATATTTACTCTTATTGATCTCCATTTTACAGGTGAAAAAAATTTAGGCCCAGGGTGTTAATTTTTGTAGGGTCCTAAAGTGAGCTTGTAGTAAGGGAAAACCTGAGTCATGTCTCTCTAACTTCATCCACCACACCACAGTGCCTCTCCCCATCCAACACGGAAGGACTTTCCTTCAGTTTCCATCATCAGGGAGTTGTCCCTCTCCATCTATTAATCTATTAATTCTGCA